CAAATGCATTTCAAAACTATATCCTGTGACTGTAGAAAGGAAATGACCTTTATAGTATGTATGTTGAATAAGTTGACTCAAGATTAAAATATTGGTAACGGGGGCACAGAATAGACAGATGCCCATCTCCTTGCCTCTCTCTTGAGGTTAAGAGAGGGAATCTGCACGCTTCCTTTGACCTTCTAGATTGTTTTACTGAACCTTGACCTATGCAGAGAACTCCAGATCTGCTGTCTGATTTCTTCAACTGACTACCTGGGTTGTGCAATGCATCTTCAAATAGTAGAAAATTGGCACCTATGCAACCATCAAGGCACTCTGAGAACTGTTATTGGTGTGAAGGGGCTCCACAAATGTCCAATAATTCAAACAACCCTTTCACAACCGTTTGCAGTGGTATTATGTGCAGAGGTTTGTGTTTTGTTTTGTTTTTAGAAAAGTAGCAAGCAAGGACTGTTAGAGCAGATCTACAAGGTTACACTAATTATCTGGATGTGACCTATAATACTGATAATTCGAAAGGTGTTGTTGTTTGCAATATGCTGGCATTTCCAGGTCAAGATGTCAGACATCACTTTGAGAAAGATTTTTCAGGACACTGGAGAGGTTAGAAAAAAGCTCTGGGTTAGGAAAACAATTTGTCTGGGAAACAATGCAAGGTCTTATTCTTGTATTTTTTTTTCCTATGGTTTACAATGTGGTTTAATATGCTCAAGATATATGGGAAACTGTTTTAAATCAAGTCTGACCTGTTGGCTCTTCTAACTCAATATTATCTATAATATTTGGCAACAGGTGACCACAAAGTCTGGCTGGAGTAGTTTCCAGTTCTGCCTGGAAACAGCAAAACAAAGAATGCATTATCAGTTTAATTATAAATTATGAAAGGGTATACTTGACCACTGCGCCAGAGTACAGACACACTATTTTCATTCTGGGACAAACAGTGATAACCTTCCTGCATTTTTCCTTTCCCTTCAGTGGTATATTCCCATTATTATATATGGAAGAATTTCAGTGGGAATTAGTTTTGCACTTAATAGTAAGAGAGAGAAAGAAACAGAATGTTACTTCTTATTACAATAAAAAGTACTAATAGTGAGCAACTCAGTAATTTGGCTTCAGCTTCAGAGTTGCCAATCTTAACATGAGTTACTTAAACTTAACATGAAGTTATTTTACTGTATATTGGGCCATTCCTTGTGTTAAAAGATCTTCCAGAAGAGCATGGAACAGTGGTTTGTGCCCTGATATTAATACTGATATATGGTTTGTTGGTTTCTTTGATTGTACTATAGTATAATACATGAGATGTTCATACAGTTTCCAGAGTTTTAGACCTTACAGTTCTGTTCATAACTGCATCCACAAATTTTCCACATTCATTATTTTCAGAAAGTCCTGAGTGGTAATTATGTTTAGCTGATGTACCTAAAACAATCATAAGTGCTTCCAGATGGACTGCTGTTATTAAAAAGCATTTGAACAGTTATTCCACCTTTCTCTCCTCAACAGTTTTTATAGTAAGAAAAAAAAAGAAGAAATTGTAGAGAATAAATGAGGGTTGCAAACAGAAAACAAAATCATCTGGATCTCCTGTAAGATTCTGAGTTAGACAAATAAGATATGATCTGAAAGCACTGAAGTTGCTTATGGTATCATAAAGCATATCCAGAAGATTAATTTGAGACACAATTTCATCATCATCATCATCATCATCGAGTTGGAACGGACCTTGGAGGTCTTCCAGTCCAACCCTTTATAGAGTCTCTTTTTTACATTGTGGTGATCAGATACAATAAAAAAGATTAATGCTATAATTTAGTTGTGTGACTTTAAAAACATACATTCTACACTGAACTGTTTTGCCAACAATTTCTCCTGATTGGACACATTTTATACATCATATTCCTAAATATACACATCTTTATGAAATATTTTTAATAATATGCATTTTACTAACAACTAGCTTTGCAAAATTCAGGGAATTGCACATTTCAAATAATATTTGCATTTCATTTACATATTTGCTAGAAAAATATAATTATATTAGTTTGCATTAAAATAACTCACATTAATTTCTTCTCCATACCTATTTGAGATGCTTTGCAAATGGAAAACTTTAGACTAGGTTCTAGAATGAATGACTAAATTTTGTAATTCTCTGTGATTGCTGTTATATCTTGGAATGCCAATCGTGGACGTAATGTTGCAAGGTTAAGGGGGAAATTGTGCCCACATTTTCATAACATATCTCATATTATATATATTCATACATCATATATCATGAATTTATTTCATGATTCTTTGAAGCCATTTAAATTATTTTATTTTTATAAAAAGTTTAAATTATACAGATAATGGTACAGGACATCTGTAATGCAAATGGGTAAAGGATAAGGGGAAAAAATCTAAAACAAAAGTAAAGAAAGCAACCAGTTTACTCTATATATATTTGAACAAAGATCCCTGATAACATATGCATAAAAGCTTTAGCATCCATATTAAATTCAGAGTGATACAGTATTCAGATTAAAACATCAGGAAGCCAAACCTGATATAACAAAAAGATCACATCCAGTAAGATTGTAAGACAAAAAAAAAAAAATGAACACAAGAGAATTTAATGTTCTTTCAAAAGCAAAGACATTAGCAGAAGGGGAAATTTGAATAAGCACCTTTTTTCTTTTCTAGAAAGCATTCTCCCTTTTTTCCTGCTAAAAACCTCAAACAAAAATTATAGAGGAGTGGAATGTTACCATTTTAAAAACAGTACAATTGTTAACACTTGCCATTATATAGAGATCCCAGTTACATTAAGTTCTGTTTACAGAGCAAAGAGATACGAGTGTCTGCAGACCACTCCAAAGCCTGCAGTGTTTAAATCTTATTGGAGCTGACAAATGGTATGCTTAGATTAGTAAATCTGTGGGTACAGGCTCCAAAGGTAAAAAACGAGGAGAATGGAATGAAACCATTTGTCCTCTTCTCATTCAAGAGATTCTCTGATTTTCTTGGAACCCACTGATATGGATTCACTTGGAGAGATTAATAGTTTATAAAAAGCTTGTTATAAATTCTTGTTACCCCAGGCAGCTAGCACAGTAATTACTTTTTCATTTGGGATAAAGACTCTGTTATGTGACGATTCCCAGATGGGATATTATTCATAGATTTCCAGCAACTCACAGGGAATCTCAAGTTCAACTTTCAGGAACTGAGGTTGAAGCTCAAAAGGATCATCAGATAGTTGAAGCAGTTTACAACAACAGTGAACATTAGTGAACAGTTTCCTGGAGCTTGAAAAAGAAACTGTGCGAGAGATAATTATTTGTTCTCCATCAGAAACAAAACACTGGAGAATCTCTATAGGACACTTTTATAAGCTTGCTTCAGAGATATTGATTCAGTCTCTACATCTTTGTGCCTTCTGGAAATGATAGATAAGGAGTATGTGTTGAAATCAAATTTTTGAAGAAGACAAGGCTGAAAAAGATTTTTGCTTGTAAGCATAATCTTTTGCAGTAAAGTCTTCATCACAGCAAAGGCAACAAGCTGCAATATATCACCAGGAACTACCTAAAAAAAAGTCTCCCCATCCTATAATTAAATGGTACAACCACCATGAAAATGAGGTCATCTCTAACAAAATTAGATAGAAGGTACATGGGTTTACTAATAGATCCCTTCATTTGCAATAGACAAGCATTTCTACTTTCCCAAAATTAGCAGCAGCAATGTGACTTTGTTTCACCCGAATTAGATTGTTATAATGAAAAATAAGTCCATGTAGCAAAAGTTATTTTTTTGTTGTTTAAACAACATTCTTCTGACACCTGGCTCAGAATGTACTAAACACCCAAACCAAACACCCTTGTGTTTTAGTTCCAATATTAAGTTCTCCACTGATACAAATCTGTGTCTACTTTTTAAGAAAAAAGGGTGAGGATTTGTAATAACAAGAAAAAATATGTTAGTACTATTTTTAATAATATATAGGAACTTCTTCCTTCTCTCTAGCTGCTTTCAGTTCTATGGTTTATATATTTGAACTTTTCATTTCTAATGCTCATGCCCTAAGTCTTGCACCTTATTTTCTCCTTGGTTTGTAATCTTCACCATAATATGCAGATGCTGATAGGAAGTAATTGACACAAATATGAGATGGGTATTGGCCCTTTTGGTTAATATATAGAGACTAACAATAGGTTTATTGTTTTGTGAATCCAACATACAGTTATGATGGTGCTGTTCAGATTACAAATCAAATCCTGTGTTTTGAAGATAAATCTTACCCTTCAGGAAATCTGATAATTATTTAGTAAACATGTAAATTTTAAATTAAACAAAACTAAGGCTCATTTTAAAAAGAGAAAGGTGGATTGAAAAATAGATTTTTTTTCACCTTTCCAAAATTAAGGTGGTAGCAAAGCCTTTTTCAAATTTTATACTTTAGAGACATGGTGGAGAAACAATGGGTCTATATGTACTTTCTATTTACATTATACATACTATACCTAACTTTAAAAAATACAAAAGATTTAATCCCACAAGACTAAAGCAATAAATGGAAGACAAAGTTGTAGCCATATTTCTGTAGCCTCAGAAAGCCAGTCGTATCTAGGTTTTAAACAAGCAGACATGAAGTTGAACATCAGAATATACTGGCTTAATGCAATAAAGTCAGTGGTGGGATTCAGCTGATTTGCATCACTTCAGCAGAACCAGTAGCTAATTTTTTGTTGTTCAGGCCCAGAATGGACTTCCGGAAGCGGCATCCATACAGAGAACCGGTTGTTCACATATTTGAATCCCACCACTGAATAAAGTGACATGCACTTTAGCAGCTTCAGAGCTCTGGATTTCACTCCTCTGCTTAAATCATTTGAAGCAGCTTATGTGCAGAACAGCTGCTGCTCTTAATCCACAGTGTAAAACAGGGGTCTTCAAACTTGGCCCTTTTATGACTTGTGGACTTCAACTCCCAAAATTCCTCAGCCAGCTTTGGAGGAATTCTGGGAGTTGAAGTCCACAAGTCTTAAAGTTGCCAAAGTTGAGGACCCCTGATCTAATTGGCCTCTGTAATAATGGAACAGCATCTCTGTTCCCAAATATTCAGAGGGCCAAGTTTGGTGTAAAAAGTCCAAAACCAAGTAAAGACATCTGAATTTTCTTTGAAACAATTGGATGGGGGGGGGAGGACCAGAATTTTAAAAAGCTGTGGCACCAGTTTAGTGTGGAAATTAAAGTGAGAAAAGCAACTGATTTGGGGGTGATGTGCTTCAGGCACAGCTGGAGGAAATAATGGGATTCCCTCTCTCTACTGGGAAATTTGCAAGATTCCAATCCAGTTTAGCAACTGTGGATAATGATACTATAGGTAATGAGACCTTGAAAAAATATACTTTCTGCATACAAAAATTTGCCCATCATCTTTCATGTTATATGCAGAGTTTGAGAAAATGGCCCCAAACCACAGATATGTGAAAACTGCTACCACTGAAGTCTGCTCTCTTTTTAACAGCTACAGATACATGAAACCACAGATAATGAAACCATGAGTTAACAAGGGCCATCTGTACATTTGTGCAGGTCAGATTCATTTCAACACATGCATTCTAAAACTTGTGGCACTGAAAAAAGTTTATTTTAATAACTTAAAAGGGCAAGTTTAATCTCTAGTGCTGGTCTCACTGCTATAAACAATGATAAGTATAACATCTTCCACTTTAGCAGGTGCACAGGGAATCTTATGCAAATCTGACCAGAGATCATAAATTGAGACTTAATGAAATATATGAAAAGGGCAAATAACATTTTCACAGAAAAATAATGTTACTGCCCAAACCCTTGTCTCATAACAGCTGAATTAGCCTTTAGGTTCTCTTATACTCTGGGCTGGTTTGCTTGAGGGATGTAAGTATACAAAGCCCCCTTTAAGTTCAACTCCTGATGACGTTATGAATGCATCCTTCTTTGTAACAATATGGAAGTGGTTTGCAATTGCTTTCACCCAGAATGTTTCTGACTTCACAGTCTAGTTCACAACCCAGGTAGTCTCCCATCCAACTACTAATTAAATCAAACACAACATGTCTTTTCAAGGTCAGCCAAAGTCAGATAAATACTAAGCCAGACATTATATAGAAATAGAAAATTGAAGCATTCATGCAGTCCGTAACTAACTTGCTTCTATGTCAAAATGAAGGGCTACACAGGAATACAAAAGGTGGAGAAGCAGAGAGGAATCTTCTGCCAGAGAGACAGCCTGGCACCCCCTGGTGGATCAACAATTGCCAATCCCAATCTATGTGGTCCATGAGAGGGAATGGTTAATAAAAATGTTAAGAGGACAACCGATTGCCAACCTTCCTGAACACGGAAACCAAGCTATGTTGTTTCAGAGTGTTTTTCACAGGGGAAAGCACAATTTATTCACTGTAGGTTTCGGTCTCACTAATATTTAATAAAGTCAGAATAGCTGACTAGAACCATACGTGGATATGAAGCAGAATGACATTTTTCTCTTTTGTTATTCCCAAGACTGGAATCAGTTTTTATATTGGGCTGTTCATGCAGTTTGCTTATTCAACTAGCAGGCATCCTGGCAAATGATTTAGCATTCAAAACATGGTTTAAAAGGTAATAACAAATCAGATATAAATGTTGCTTTTCATATATTTGCATTCCCTGGAACTTCAGGAAATGCAATTTTATCTCCATAAATATTTTGAATTACAAAAGAGAAATACATCTCCATGCAAAGTTGGAGAGAAAAATACGTGAACTCATCTGAATGATGTCTCAGTTCAGGTTTACCTCTAATAATAATAATCAATCCAAAGAATAACAGGCTCTAAGACATATTATAAATTAGTGTGCACTGAAGAGTGGCCAATTCCTGTTTTTCAGCTAACTCTTAATTTCAATACTTATTTCTGTATTTAAGGTAAAAGATTGGAATTGCCATTGAACTAGTAATACCCCTTTTGCTTTAGACTCTAAGCCTTCAGACTGAATGTGCTGCAGCTGGTCTTGTTTGTTGTTCTTGTTAACAATGCATACAGTGAGTTTTCTTGAAAACACAAGCTTTGTACAGACTGGAGGGAGAGTCACATAAGACTTTCCCCCCCCTCCCTAGATGGCTTTTGATGGCACATATTCACAGAATGCAATCATTATTTTTCATAGAAGACCATACATCCTTCTAATAGGAATATAAGGGACTTTCCTTTGCAGAAAACCTTACCAATAGATGTGTGTGGAACTTCAGTTGGGTTCTCACATATACTAAGCCAGAGGTCCTCAACCTTTTTCAGCACCAGGGACCGGTTCCGTGGAGAGAGGTCTTTCCATGGACTGGAGGGTGCTTGGTTTTGTGTATTGCCTGCATCCCACAGATGGGGCTTTGCTTGTTTCTACAGATCAGTTGCTGGCATGCCGTGGCCCCATACCGGACCACGGACCAGGGGTTGGGGACCGTTGTACTAAGCTACAGTTGTGGTATACTGAATAAAACATAAATAGCTTTGGCCAACATACTAAACCAGAAAGCATGGTTTGTAAACCACATAATACATTAAGCAAAACATTCATTGCAATAGCTAAGTGTTATCTAGGGAATTACTGAAAGGTAAATTATCTTCTTCCTTGAATTAGGGTTGAAGTCAGCTGAACAAAATTCTCCTACATTTTATCAGCTGCTTCCTTAGAACAATATCTCATGTGATCTGCCTGTTAGCTGTAGTTGAGGGGGAAGTCATATTATTGCTTTCTGGACTCTAGGAGACTTACAGAGACAAGATGGAGACTTTGGATCTGTTGTACAATTGTACACAAGGCATTTTTTCATGCTGGGGGGGGGCTTGGGGGACCAACTCAAGCTGCAAAAGGATTTTTTTCTTGGAGGATTCCATTAGAAAGCTAATCTGCTACTAACATTGTTTTGCAGGTGTAATTCTGCATCCTGCCAAATACATCAATCTGTAGACTGATACAACCTACCCTATAATGACCCTGAAAACAGAGTCTTGCCTACAACTGAAAAAAAATGGCAGTGATTAAAGCATCAGACTAGAAACCAGAAAGCCATTTGTTTTAGTCTCACCTTAGGCATGAAAGCCAACTGGTTGACATCGTGCCAGTCACATTCTCTTACCCCAACTCACCTCACAGGGTGGTTGTTGTGGGGGAAAATAGGAGGAAGAAGGAAGAAGGAAGAGGAAGAATGTTCAACTTGGGTTATTTATAAAAATAAAAATGGGACATAAATAAATAAAATCAGCCCTACCTTCTCTTGTACTCCTCTACCTGAAGTGTAGAAATTGCAGATGAAGCTTTTCATGTATTTGAGATAAAAAAATAACCTCTACATGTCTGTCATGTTACTGGGGAAGGGAGAGGTCCACTGAATTGTTGGAAAGCCAGCAGCCCTGTTTTGAACTAACAGAATTATTTTATGAGAGCATCTCAGGACTATACTTTTATTTTGTGCTGGCCAATTTGCCTTCCACATTGTTCCTCTTCTCTATTCTGTCCACTTGCTCTCCTTTTCATGTCTTCCTGTATCTCCTGGATACATTGGAGTGTCTTTGCAGATTCAGAATATGGCTCAGGGTTCCAGCTGTGCTATCCATACTATGTTCAAACATATTTAATATTTTGTAAGATTTAAGAAGGCAGTGAATAGGTCTTCTACTGGGTTATTTACTTGGAATAGAAGGCTGATTTTATTTATAGAAACTGACCGGGTTTATACAGTGCAGTGAATCACAGCTATTTCATTTTTTAACAATGCTGTCTGAAGAAACCAAATTGTGCTAAGCCACAAACCATGATTTACATGGTAAACTAAAAACCAAAGAAAACCACACTATGATTTAGCATGATGTGTGAACCCAGCTAAAGTACACACACAGAATATTTAAAAACACATTATATGATTCTATCCAAACTACAGTTTGCCATCTCTGATTTAACTATGCTGTGGGGAACAATCAGATATATATTCTCAATGCCTGTTTACTATTTAGGAGAATTCCAAGTCATCCAATCTAGCTGAATAGTATGAAATTGAGAATAAACAAAAATAAATCCTTTTTCATGCAGTGTGTAGTTATGTTGGCATTTCTTTCCACAAAATGGAGAAAGTAGAGCTATGTAACTTTAATAGAGATTTTCATAAAGTACCTTTGGAAAGCAATATGGCCCTAATGGTTCTAAGAGTGAAGCAACCATGTTGGTTCATCTCACCATACTGTGTACCACCTTTCAGCGATCTCCTACAGAGTTTTATCTGTGGTAGAAGGCTGAGAGGAGTTCCTTGTGATAGTGCTACAGAGGAAGACTGAAAGGAGCTTTCTCCCATCATACTGCTCAAGGGCTTCTTAGTATGGCAGTTTCAATGAATGCTGTGATTGATTGTAGTGTGCATCCAAAGCAGTCAATCTGGAGCCCATTCAAGTGTGATCATTTGATAGTTGGCCAGATATTTCGTGCATGTAGTTTCAAGGAGGTAACTGATGATCTCCTCTGCAACATTTCCCAAAGGAAAAGACAAATGATCCTGAGAACATGGTGCTTGTCTTATGCAAACTATTTTCCAAAACCCCAACATTGAGGTCTTCTAAGCCAGGAAGCTCTGAGGTACAATGTGGGTAATCCCAGAACTGCCTATCTTGGGAACTGTCCTGTTGAGAAAAAAATTGGGAAGAATCTTCTCCTGCAAACTGGCCTATGTGGTAGGAGGCCACCCAAATGGTTTTGTTGAGGCAATCCGGGTCATGATTCACTTCAGCTTTGGTGGAATTAATCATATTGCCTCTGCAGTGTAAACTGTTTCACTGACATGAATCTAAGTCTCATCACTTACAGCTTGTAGAAAAGGGATCAGATAAACTGATGGGACAAATTAAGATTTTCATAACTACTAATTATGCTGACTATATGCCACCCTGAAGATCAGAGGTTTTATGTCATCTAATACTTGTTCTTGGGGAATATGACCAGGGTTGGTTGGGCTGAGAGAGAATGGCTGGTCCAAAGAACCAGCCTGATTTTTAAAATTTATTTTTATTTTTATGACTGCATGCCATTTGCTTCTGCATTTTTGTTATCATATAAAATTAACAAGGGAATTTAACAAGGAATGCCTTGTTAATTTTGTTGTTTTCACTCTATTTCAGCATTAAGTATAATGAGATGTGATTAAAAAATCCATCATGGTTGGGATCCAAAGGGCAACTCCATGGTGGTTTCCCCTTTCTGCTAGTAAGGTGTACACATAAAAAGATGTGAGATGAGGATATTGGCAACTGCCACAATGAAAGACACATGGTCAGTGGGGTGACATTAACCAATGAATATGGGGAAATAGGAAGCAGCAACATATTTATTCAGACCACTGGACCATTTAGTGCAATGTTTTCTGTAGCAAATCTCCAGAGATTCAAACAAACCCAAACTTCAATGCTATAGATAGCAACTGGAATCCTTTGCACACAAAATGTTATTTCTCACTGAGTTATGGCCTTCCCTTTAACAATAATCAATTACAATTATCTGGACAGGAGAATTTAAAAAAATATACTGTTTCTCATACAGGCACACATAAAATCTGCAGAGGGCAAGTGGCATATTAAAAGAGGCATCCCTCATTCCCTTCCCAGGATATAAGTTAAGGCCTTTTCCAGCTTATGCATGCATCTTTGCATACAGGGCTTCGAATACATCTGTATTTTGTCAGATGAATATCCTATTAGCAATAGCCTTGGTGATCAATGGGAAGAGTTGGGTAGAAAATCCACATCTGGATTATGCATATTATATAGATTCAATAAGGAATTAACTGGCTAAATTAATCAATTACCTTTTTTCAATCGGTAAACAAAGCATGATGTATGTAAAAACACAGGAAGGAGAACGATACATGGCTGCTGCTACCTTTGGGTGGTAAGCTATTTTTCATACCTTCTTATATTATTCTTTTTATTTTTGTGCTTAGCACAGACTATTTTTCAACAAAGACATACTCAAATAAAGAGCAGGATTTGTTGAAAATACTGTTGTCAGGATATTTTTCATATATACAATATAAATATAGCCATATATTTTAAAAAACATGTTTTAGCTCTAAATATGAATACTTCATTTCTCCAGCCTGAGCATAATTGGATAATGGCGGTCATTTAACCAAATTTCCAGTTTAAATGGACTCCTTAACAGTTGCCATGATTCTGGAAGGAGTTATACAAGATAAAGATCTGCAGGGGAAAACCAGTGGGAAAATGCAATCTGTCAACTTAGCTGCACTGCAGGTGAGGAGAACTTAAATTGGCGGTGGGCGATCATGTCTCAGCATTAAGTTGAAGGAGTGTGCAAAGTTGTTGGTAAGCTTGCAGCTGTGGGTCTCCTCTGCTAGAGGGAGCAGAAAGGCAAGGAGTAGCAGAAGCAACAGCAGCAACTGGAGGGGTAAAGCTGCACAGCACACACGACGTAGGAAGGAACATGCACTTGCCGGTTGACCCTGAAAGACAGAAGCCATAGGCATTAATGAAAGCTAATACATGAATCTGAACTGAATCAGGTATTTCCCAGGCAATGGAAGCATAAAATAGTAAGAGTTCTCCAGGGGCAAGGCCAGCCTTTTGGCTGGCTTTGCTGAGCATGCACTGCACGGCAGGGTATTCAGACACGAGTGATAAATACTGTAACCATGTTTCCAAATGCCATAACATCCACAATCCATTAAACATAATCATCACTATTCCTAATATTACTATTTAAAAATTAAAATCTGAAATAATCCCAAAGATGTTCTACGAGCATGTTCTGTGAGCATCTTGTGACCTCTTATATTAGTCTTGTGAAATTTCAGGAGTCTCCCATGAAATTTCATTTACTGACATCTAGTGAGATTTGTTTGGGTTTGAGTTGTTTTTTGTTTTAAGTTAGAACTATTATTGTAGTTTTAAGTGATCCCACAAGTGTTCTAGAGAAAGTTTTTAAGAAGAGACTGGACAGCCACTTGTCCGAAATGGTGTAGGGTTTCCTGCCCGAGCAGGGGGTTGGACTAGATGACCTCCAAGGTCCCTTCCAACTTTACTAATATGAACATACCCTCTCAGCTTTTCATTTTAATTAACTTAAGACACAATTATTACTGTGTTAAACTGCCTTAACCGGGAGTTGCAGATCTGAAAAAGTTGCTATGTCTTCCCTTAAGGGATTTAGGGGAAATAGTTCTGCAGTTGCTCCAAAGTTTTGATTTTAAATTGAGCTGTGAATTTTGATAACAGCAGCAGCATCAAATTTACGTTACATGTTAGAAGAACTTTGGTTACGGCAGTCTAACACAGTCATAATTGTGTCTTAAGTTAATTCTTACTTAAAATGGAAAACTGAGAGGGTAAATCAAGAAAATCAAATTTCTCTAGAACACTTATGGGATCACTCAAAACTACAATAATAGTTCTAACTTAAAAGATGTATCATATGTCAGGAAATAGATCCCCAAATCCCAAAATCCATCAGCATGAATAATCAGAAAAGTCACTAGAATGTGACCCTGAAATCTGTTGAACAAAATAAATTTAGAAAACTTTAGAAATGGAAATTTGAAACAACCCTTCAAATGAAGTACATTTTTTCATAGCAAAGGAGAATAAAGGATTCTTTTAAAAAAAATAGATTTTGAAGAAGATGGTACCTAACACTAATCTTGATATCTTGAAAGGGTCCTTCCTTGATTTAGCCAACATTGACAACTTCTTCCCTACCTCTTTTTTTGTGGAAAGTCACTGAGAATGTGGTGATGAGTTCACTATAGAGGTTCTTATATCTGTATTCCTGCTATTTAGCATTTGGTGCAGTCTCATTTGGGATAAAAACAACATAGAGCACTATGGTTGATAATTTTGGTTAGAACATAGGTGGGCAAGTGTTTTGGTTCTGCTAGTCTACTTGGCAGCATTTGCTGTTTAGCAGCATTAACAGCATGTTATTGATTATTGTACCTTTCATATCACCTGCAAGAATTGAAAGTTGGGATACCCTTTAAGGTAATTTTGTTCCCAACTAATTGGGTGATTCCAGTTGGTAATTATTATTATTAAGAAGAACTCTAGCACTTGCTTATTCCCGTTTAAAGTTATTTGGGGCTCAGTATCCTCTGCTGCTTATATGAAATCACTAGTAAGTATGTAGTGGTTTGGGGTGAATTGTCATCCCACGGTGTGCCGTAACTGCTGTTGAAGTTGAAGATGTCAAGACCTGGATGAGATGAAACAAGCTCAAATTACAACCTTCCAGGACAAAGTTGTTTGGCCAACATTAGGGCATGTTGTAACACCATTCCTAGAAGTTACTTTGGATGAATAGTGTTCTCCCTTAAGAAGTTAGTTCATGACTTGGTGGTCCTCTTGAACTCAGGTTCAAGAGCAGCAGGTCAAAGCTGTGCCAGGAAAATCTTTGTCCAGTTGATGCACCAATTATGATTTCCCCTAGTCCATGATACCTTAGGTACAGTGATTCCTGCCTTCAACTGGGCTAAAGTAAGTAATGTATGTTAGTGTGCTCTTGACAATGACTTAGCATCTGCAGCTGTGCAGAATGGAGTAACCAGAATGCTGGAGGGCCAAGCCCATCTCTGCAAAATAGCACAAATTCTGAGATTGCTGCATAGGCTCCAAGTGAACATCTGAGTCCAATTCAAAGTGCTAGTCATCACCTTTAAAATTCACTATGGTGTAGTTCTGGGTTATATCAGGCACAGCTTTACCTGAATTGAATCTGCCACTCTGATCTGACAGACAGATAGGTAATCTTTATTGTCATTTTTTACTGTGGTACATGGCACACATTAAAAATGAAATTTAGTTGCTTGCTCTTGAAGTGTACACATACATAACACACATTTAAAACATACTATATTCAACATATGTATAGACCTACACCCTTACATATAAGTAACATATAAATATTAATCACTGTCCATCTTTAATACATAACGGAAGGAGGAAGCTTTAGAGTTCACAAGGTTAATACTGTATGGAATAAAATTTGAACATCAAGAGGGGTTCTGCAAACAATTCTTTACCCATCAGAAGTGCATGGTGGTTGGTCTAGTTGGCTAACCTTCTCCAGCAGAGCATGCACTCCCTAGAACATGGGTGTCAAACTTGGTCATGTCACATGACGTATCGTGATGTATCATTGTTTTTTGTCTCTGTGGAGCTGTGGTGGGCATGGCCTGTACATGATGCATCAGGCCCATGGGCCGCCAATTTGACACCTCTGCCCTAGAATATTCTTTCTCAAGAGGTATGTTGGACCCTTCGCTTCTCATATTCCATAAGATTGTTAACCATACTATTCCATCGGGTGTTCATCACAAATTATGATCATTTCTTCTGGACATATAATGTTGTTTCTATCTATTTCAAGCTATTCTCCAAAGCACCTGAAGGCAAGACAAGAAGCAATGGAGAGAGAAGTAACCTAGAACTAAGGAGAAACTTCCTGACAGCTTGCTGGTCACAGGATAGTATCAAGGGGACATACCTTGAATGAGGTTACATGGCTCATTAGGCTAATGCCTGGCTGAGGAATTCTGGGAGTTGAAGTCCACAAGTTATAAAAGGGCCAAGTTTGAAGACCCCTGGGCTAGTGCATTCATTCCTTTTGCAAACTCACCTGGTTTCTATTGATTATAATTTCTTATTTTGCTTGAAAACCTTACTGAACAGTTTAGGAATGAATCGAGTTCCCCTACTATTCAAAGCAGGCTGCATTAATTCTATAAATGGATAAACAAGTTTCAGGAGTTGCCCTACCAATCTCTTGGGCCGTAGCTATAAATAACATCTTCCAAATTCATTGAAAAATAATTATAGCAACTGTTTCTAAAATATATTTTTATAATAGACTTTATGGCTGAAATAAGGAAAGATGAATACCCAAAATAAAATGGGTTCTATGGGATGGCTATGCTCTAAGACAGGGGGTCCCCAACCCCTAGTCCGTAGACCAGTACGGGGCCATGGCCTGCCAGCAACTGGTCTGCACAAACAAGGAAAGCCTTATCCACAGGATTCGGGCAGCACACAAAACCACACCCCCTCTAGTCCATGGAAAAAACTCTCTCCACATAACCGGTCCCTGGTGCCCAAAATGTTGGGGACCTCTTCTCTAAGACAAGGAATATTTCCAAAGCATATAGCAGCTTCTCATGACCTGGTGTTCTCCTTACATGTTGAGAGCACATTTACATGGCTTTTGGGATTCTAAAAGCTATGGTCCCAAACATCTGACAAGCATTAGGATGAAGAATGTTGGTTCATAAAATGTTGAAGAAATAGAAATTAAAATATTCATCCATTTCAAGTTAGCAGTTTTGTTTAGACAATGCCGGGAAAAGGATGCAACGGGGGGAGGGAGGGAGATTCTAAGATCAAAAGAGTTATAATGCTTTTTCTTAGGTAAAGTTTCAGCAGAGAAATGAAACATTCCCATGCTTTAAAGGTTACTGCTATTTTGGGTCTATTGCCCTTCCTATGTTTCTTTTACTTTTGATGGATTTTCAGAGTGAGTGAGTCTTAAATTCAAACAGAGCCTGGGAAACCTCAATAAGCATGCAAAGCATCTGAATCAAAGTTGTGTCTTAATCTTGAAGCATAAGAGGCAGACGTTCATAGAATGACCTATCGCTTGAACATGGATTCTTGATGTGCTGGTAATATTTTTTTATATTTTCTTTGCAACATCAATCCTGAATCTTACTGTGGTTTTTTAAAAAAGTAATGTTCTTTATGTCCTTGACAACTGGACATGAATTTTCCTAGCCTTAAGTGAATAAATTAGGCAGTTGGTTTCATTTGACTCTTGGGACCCAAGAAGAAAATATCCAATGGTTAAGCTGTTAGTGGTAGAATTTTATCAAACATCCTTGACCTCTAAGTCTTTGGGGGGAGGTGGCTATACTAAATGCAAATGAGGAGGAGGAGGAGGCAAGAGGCAAAATCAGAAAACAAAGCATATGACTTAAGGATCTGAGTTCATATCATCAATATATTCCTATTGCGAGACAAATTTGATTAGAAGATAGAGGGAAAGTTATGGAATATGAAATCCAGCAAATTTGGAACTGGAACAGAAGACAGAACTTCTTGAAAAAGTGCTTTCTTTAGTAATCTGAATTAATTGATTAATGGTTTAAGTGGCAAGAGCTACCATAGAAATTCCAGGACTGTCAGCTGTCCTCTCAGGCTGGCACATACTGGTAGTCCTCGGCTTACGGCCATAATTGAGCCCAAAATTTCTGTTGCTAAGTGAGACAATTATGTGAGTTTTGCTCCATTTTTTAAAATATTTTTTAAACCAACAAAACAAAACAAAACATGACACACATACACACACAGTATATACTCCTCCCTTTTTTTAAACAGCTATTTCGTAATGGTAATCTTCTAATATTTACATTTCCCCCCCATTCTTCTTTAGAATATTTGTCCTTGTTGCCCCATTGTT